AATGCACTTCGTCTTCCTTTCCCATGATTCCGAGATAAGTAGAGACACACCCCTCCTATTCTTTCCAAAAGAAACTCACAGGTCTCGGTTGTGGCCTCGAAAACGTTTCGCCCATGGCATTTTGATGTTGTACCAGTAAAATTCTTCAAGCGCCTTCAACAGCCAATCAACTTCCACCTTTCCCAAAGATATCGAAGTTCGGAAGCCTCTCCCGTTCTCGCAAATTTGCAGTCCATCCATTTTCCTTCCCTCACTTACCAAATCAAAAGTTTTATTCTCAATAACCAAGAATCTCCGGTCATTCTGGGCTCCCATGTTGACTTCTAGTGTTCGCATTAAAACCCCACGTACCTCACTAAACAGATGAAGATTGGTCGGCTATAATGGCCGACCCAAACCGCCCTAAGCTTGTTCCCATGTCTTTGAAATGAATTAAAGCTGTAGGAAATCTGATAGAAAGAAAGGATCTGTTTTGGAAAGTTTAGGCGGAGTGAAGATTAGAGAGAATTTTTAGAGAGAGAATTCCTAGTCTTATGTATTAGTAGTCATTCTTTAATCCTTACCTCTTTATCCGGAACAATGGAGAAAATTTGGGGGAATTGCTTACACAACAGACCCCATTCCAGCCAAGGATCCAACCAAAACCTAATTTCATTCCCTTTTCCTGCCTTCCACACAATGCAGTTTTGGAAGTTTCCTTTTTGGCCATCAATATTCTTCCACATGCTCCTCCCATGCGATCTCATGGCCCCTCCAGTAAACCAACCCATTCTGTTGGTTCCAAACTTAGCTGCAATGGCTCTTCTCCATAAGGCATCTTTCTCTAGCAAAAATCTGCACAGCCATTTTCCTTGCAAGGTCTTATTTAACTCCACCAATGATCTAATCCCTAAGCCCCCACACTCCACAGGTTTAATTACATCACTCCAGGCCACCAAGCAATATTTTCTTTTATCCTCAAGATCCCCCCAAAGAAATGTACATTGTATTGCTTCCAATTTGTTAGCAATGCTCACTGGAATAGTCAAAAGGGATAGGTAGCATATAGGAAGGTTGTTCAAGGTGCATTTGATCAAGGTAAGCCTCTCCCCTTTTGATGAAAACCACCCTTCAAACCTGTCAATCTCTGCTCCATATGATTCAACATTGGGTCCAACAAAGATTTATCCTTGAATTTTGCATCCAACGACCGCCCTTAAGTATCTGGTAGAGAGTTTAGCCACCCTGCAGCCCAACACCTTAGCCAAACCCACATTATCCATCTGCATCTCCAGTCGGATCAGTTCAGATTTTGCCAGATTGATACTTAAACCAGAAACAACTTGGAATCCCATCAATGAACATCTCAGTTCAGTAGGGCCTGTTTATCTGGATCATGAAAAATGAGGATATCATCAGCAAAAACAGATGGGGTTTGGTACTTTCCTTCTTCTCCCTTTTACGACCAATT